TAGAACAGGGCACTAGAAATGTTAGACCCAGGAGATGCTTCTGAGGCAGCCACTCCACTACAGAGAGATTAAAACCCCGATCCCGAAACCACTTGGACCTCAGTTTTCCTCACAGGCATCACTGGATCCGTAACTGTGATTTTGACCAGATTTAACCCATCTAAAGTGTTCCTCTTGTGTGAACAAGAGACAAGACACAGACATATAGCACACCACTTGTGTTAGACCCAGGAGATGCTTCTGAGGCAGCCACTCCACTACAGAGAGATTAAAACCCCGATCCCGAAACCACTTGGACCTCAGTTTTCCTCACAGGCATCACTGGATCCGTAACTGTGATTTTGACCAGATTTAACCCATCTAAAGTGTTCCTCTTGTGTGAACAAGAGACAAGACACAGACATATAGCACACCACTTGGTCAGAGATATCTTGAGTTCTCCCATGCTTCCCATCAGAGTGTATACATAGAAGAGCAGTTTATTTTTATGAAGAGTATCTGCTGTGATTATTTCTATCAGTAGCATTTTGTTGCAGTACAGCTGCATGGGAGTCACAATAAAATTTATATCCGTTGCAAACTTTAAAATATACGACTGAAAGCAGTTTTGCAGAAAATGAAAGTTATAAGGATCAGAGGGCTGAGAAGGATAAGATTCCCATGTTATAGAACTTGGGGTTGTTTTTTCTGTTTTTCACAGGAACACAAATGTCGGGAAGCAAGAAGCAACAATGCACCATGGGCAAGAGCAGCAGCTCAACAGACTTTGGCTCTCTTCTAGACACAGCATCCGGAAAGTCAATCACTGCTGCTACTGATGGCTCATCAAAAAAGAGAGATCCCTCCAAAGGCACCTCTAAATCCAAAGAAATCCAAGTGCAGGGCATCCTGAAACCAAAAATGTCTGTCTCCAATAGTATGTGCAATATAAAAGCTTCATCAAGAATCCTCTCGGAAGAAAACATTCACAGGCAAAACCAGCTCCTAAAAAGTAAGGTACAAATCCTACTGTGGTTGTTAGGAATATGGTTTCAATAATAAGATGAGATCAGTCTCAAAGAAAAAAGTGAAATAATGGAAAGTCAGTCCATTCTTGTCCAGCTTTAAGTGCTGAGTATGAGTCATCTGGTGAGAGATCAATCAGCTAATCTGACTGTATACATTGCTATGGTTAATAGAAAACAAGATTAAAGTGAGAAAGATAGGTTTACTTTGTACGTAGATTCAAGAAAATCTTGAAAAAACATTAAAATTGCAGAGTCAAGCAGTCCCAGTCCAACCAAGAAACACCAGAAGTGAGGTTATTTTTATCACCTTGTTTCGATACCTTTCTTTCACTTCTGCAATCTTTTTTTTTTTTTTTTCCCCTTACACAACAGCCTGAACTATATGGTGCACAGGTATAGTATGAAATACTTTGTTTGGAGAGATTATCATGAAGAAAAAAGATTAAAAAAATTTAACAATTGATTGTCAACAAGGTTTCAGCATATAAAACAAAATTTCTTCTAGTTCAGCACCTGTTTGGATGTTTTAATTCCATCACTTATTCAAATAGCTAAAATGACACAAGCAGCTGTATTCATGCCTAAGGTGTCTTTGCAGAAGGCAACTGAGATATCCTATGGATTAATTTGGCTGTAGTATCAATAGGTTTGGGAGAAATGTACTCCAAGAATCCCTTAAAAACACTATAGTTGTCATATAGCCTTTTTTCTTACGGCGTTTTTCCTTATAGATTTTTTTATAGGCAGGTAGGCAAAACTTTTTCGTTGTTGACTATAAAGAAGCAGAAGAATATAGCACCTGTTGAGGTGAGAGAAGCCCACGTTCTGCTTTCAGTGCCTGAAGTTAAATCACGCCGTTTCGCTCACTGGAACTAGTTGTACAAAAGTCAAGCATCCACTGAGATCTATCAAAGATAAAGTTAATCGACACCTCTGTAAACGTGGCTTATCGAGGAGTTTAATTTCATGTTCACAGGTTTCAAGTTGTTTTCCAAAATGTTAACAAGAACAGTATTAGGGAGGAAATACAGTTCAGGCTTTTATAAGGCAAATGTACCCAATAGAGATCATTTTAATATTTCTTTTAAGTACAATATAATATGTACAATATGTCATAAAGAGGAAAATATTTTAAGTTTATTGTAACCAAAAATTGAAATAAAACAGTAATGGGCTTTATTCCCAGATATTTAGTTCTAGAAATCAAATTATTTGGCAAGGAAGAAGTATTCCAGTGTGACTTTTCGAAACAGTTCGTATGGAGCTCTTCTGAAGTTCCTTTCTTATTCCGGACTGATTCTCTTCCTAAATGAGAATCTTGTCAACTCTGATTTTTGAGCACATAGCTTCTTTTGGTCCTAATTCATGCAGAGAGTATAAGTCATAGAATCATAGAATGGTTTGGGTTGAAAGGGACCTTAAAGATCATCTAGTTCCAACCCCCCTGCCATGGGCAGGAACACCCTCCACTACACCAGGTTGCCCAAAGCCTCATCCAACCTGGCCTTGAACACTGCCAGGGATGGGGCAGCCACAGCTTCTCTGGGCAACCTGTTCCAGTGCCTCACCACCCTCAATGTATAAAATTTCTTCATTATATCTCATCTAAATCTCCCCTCTTTCAGTTTAAATCCATTGCCCCTTGTCCTGTCACTCCATGCCCTTGTAAAAAGTCCCTCTCCAGCTTTCCTGCAGGCCCCCTTTACGTACTGGAAAGCTGCTATAAGATCACCTCATAGAGCATTAAAGCATAATTATAAATGTAGAAAATAATGTTTTTGTTCTCAACAGAGGATTTTGTGAATTGACAGCTTTCGTAATAATATGCTATAATGCATCTAAACCTTTTGTTTATTTCTTTTTTCATGGAGTCATTCCACTGGCTAATGAATGTATAGAAATGATAGCAAGCAAAACGTATTATCAGCAAACCAAAAAAGCAAGAGCAGTGTTTATGAAAGCCTCAGTATGGCCCAAGAGAAATGATATGTGATTAAGGTCCAGAATATATTATTTCCTACAATATGTGCAATAAATGGAAATGAACTCCAACTGCAAGTCACGGAGAGGTATCCTTTGCTTTCCATGATGTAACTGTGTTACAGAAGTGTCTTGCTTTTGGGAAGCAAATGGAATACCAGCAAACGGAGCTAAATGTCCGAGCGGTTTAATTATGCTTTGATGTGATGTCTGACTTAATGTGAAAGATGCTCTGGGTGTCACAGGGCAGTGAGTAGCACCTATGATTAGATTTGATCTATTCTGCTTAATGAGGCCTATTAATAACACCTTGGCATTCTTCTTTTAGAAATTGCCCTCCATGTCTAATGAGGTGGAGAGCCCAATAAAAAATTAACCATGCACTCTTAATGAACTTTTAAATCTCTCGAAGGTGATTACGAATTCTGTGGTTCAAGTGACAAACTGAAGGAGGGCGAGGAGGAGGAGGAGGAGGAGTGGGAGCGAGGCAGCAGGGCAATGCCACCCGTGCCGCGCTTGCTGGGAGGTACTGGTGAGAGCGACACGCTCAC